GCCAGATGAGAGTCTGCGTCCACCAGGGACGCCAGGGACAGTCGCAGTAGGACACTGGAGAAGCACGCAGCTGACAACAGGGTTGGGTTTCGGGTTGTACAGGGCGACAAATGACACAGCTTTGTCACTGTAAACAGCAGTTTTGTTGGTCTCTGTAAATTCTGGGGGAAGCTCATTTTTGAAGAGGGAGAACCCGGCCTTCCAGTACTCGACTGCAGCGTTGCAGTCCTTCTTGCCGTCAGCAACAGGGTAGTACGCAAAGGTACCAGTCAACTTCTTGGCTTCAGTAGTCTCTTCAGGTTCCGTCTGGACACAAGAAGAGGAAACGAGAACAAAGCACAGCGCCAGTAGAGTTTCGGGCGCCGAAACAACCTAGAACATTGAGAGGGTCTATATCTACGATGAACCGAGAGAAATTTACCCCTGTAACTTTGGGGCAAATCTCCCCCCAAAGTGTTTCAGCGTTCACGGTTACATCCCTTTGAACGTTTTTTTCCGGTAGAGTTTGTGAGGCTGTCGACGCTTCTTTAAATTCAGCAAGGCCTGCTGCTGTCCTCAGCCCGTTCATTGCTTCCAAGCAGTCCAATTTTTCTGGGGAAATTTCACACAAGATGTTGGAATGCGAATGAGATGATAAAAATTAGGCTGTCATTTCTACCATGAACAGGAATGCGCAAGAAAGTCCAAACGTGCTTGTGCAGCAGCAGCTTGTTGCTGAGCGAGTGCCTGGTTGAAGAGCAGTGGCACCGAAACGAGGGAAAAGAAGAAGAAGCGAGCCATTTTTAATACCAAATGACACTAGTTCGAAAAAGCGGAGAAATTTTCTTCGAGGTTCATATGAGAGCGCAGACGACATCTTAACGAGACAGCGAGGTTCACGCTCACGGCTCCCGCCTTAGCCCAGCGGGCTCCCTAGGCTTGCTATGCGCGAATGGGCGTTCGGCGTACTCTACAGCATTTTGACAATATTTCAAAGCAGAACAGCAACAAAATTCTTGTAAAAAAATGAAAAACTATTTAAATGTACTAAAAGAGCATGCTTGTGGCAAAATCATGCAGTCTTGTTCTGAGGATCTGCGTAACGGGACATTGCATTGGAGGTCTGATTTATCGAAGGAACAGCTTGTGAACAGCATTCCATAATGGGGCGGATGAATTAGCTAAGGCATTGCGCGATTAATTAGCCTTGAGGTCGGGCACGTGTGTGAGTCTGCAGACACTACATCTTGGTACCGAGAGCACTGCAGCACATTGACAGTTTCTGTGAGGTCCTACACAATACACTGTAGAGCAAGGCACTCTTTCTCGTATGTCGCAAACCAGCAGTCATAACCAAGTGCTTGGCTGATTAGATAAGTAATTTTTGGACTGCAGAGAACTGGCAAACGTGCCTGCTGGCTTTGTTTACAGCGTGCTGAGAACCCAAAGGGTTGCAGAGCCTTCTGCGCACGACAGTGAAAAATAGTAGACGCTAGAGAAGGCAGTCTGCATCTCTTGCCGTCGTAGCCTCCTGTCAAATGCGTATACGAGAAAGCCTACGCGCCGCTCTCTCACTTGCTGCCTTGCATGCATTCTGTTCCCGTCTTCCGAAGCTAGAGAAGGCACACTGGAACGCAAACGCTGAAACACGCTATGCTGAGTCACAGTTGTTACAAGGAGCTGGAATCTTTGAAAGTTTTTCTTCCCCTGTCAGATGAGGGAAGAAACAGAAGGTGAAGACCACTAGTTTAAAAGTAGATTGATTTTAACATAGATGAACATAGATGTGCTCGATGGCGGAGCATTTGGGGACGTGCGCAGATGACCTCTAATGTTAGAATATCTTTCAGCAAGCCGGGTGCTGTGCTGACAGCCTCGATAGATGGAAACAGTCTCAGATATGGCCGCTTCCTTCCAAGGCAGGTGATCCTGGCTCCTTTGGGCTAGGATGGCTCATCCCTTGCCAAGAGAGCTTAATATAGGATCTGGAAGACTATGCATCTGGCAAGTGTTCTGATTCGCCTAAGAAGGATTTAAGTAAAACGGGGAGCCGTGTAGGAGCCGTACGCAATTGAGTAACGCCGCGTGAAATGCATGTTCATCATTCTATTACTGTATCAGAAGACAAAAACCATTGCAAAGAACGAATTTTTCTCATATTCAGCTACACTTCAAGAGGTCGAAATTCGTTCCTAAACAACGGTTAGTCAGAAACCATCGAAAAGCACCTTGTTTTGCCAAAATGGAGGAGAAAGAACAAACTAAGGGAAAGACAAACTATTGATCGGGCCTCTCTCCTTTGGCGTCTCGCTGCGTGAAACTGCCGAGACATGATATTTTTCCACAGCACTGCATCTAGAATATCCATAATGCCTTCAGATTGTGCACTACTTTTACCAATAAGGACTCAAAAACGTGCCATGGAACAAGCCTGCCCATCTGAAGTGATCCGGTCTGAGGATGTTCAACCTGCGCTGACAGGCAACCACGGTATAAACGTCCACTAGATCATCGACACGGCTACGTACACCATGACATAGGCAGAGCGTTGAAGTTACGCGGAAAATAGTTAGCTCTACTAGGCGTGCATAGGCCTGGAGAGCACCAAAAGTGGATCCTGGCAACACATGATGTGCAACGACAGCACCTGCTCGTGATACCCCTATACAGAGGCTATAAACAGGATTATCTTCAGCACCCTTCAATAACAACGATAAAACATTGAGAGACCAACGATAAAACAATGGGAGAGATTTTTTGGTTTCCCCTGCTGGATTATTTTTGGATAAAACAGGCATTGGCATGCTCATTCAGTGCCAGCACACTGCACAGACGCTGACAGCCTAAAAAAGCTCGTAGGCAAAAAGCATCATTATGAACCCAACTACCAATGACGGCCCGACTGGCGAAATCCCGTTGCCCTTCTCAGTACCAACGATGGCTTGAACAATCTTCCGCCACTCTTCTTCCCTGCAAATCCAGACACAGCACAGTGTATTTATCAATTAGCTCCATGGATCAAGCGCCACACATGACGCTTACACATCTGCTAAGTTGCCGATGCATATTGGGTCCTATGCAGCCAAGTCTGTGATTTTGAGGTGTGTCCCCACTTAAATGGTGGTTCTCCTGCGGTCAGTGCCTCCGGGTTCGTCAAGCAGATAACGGCAGTAGTAGTTTCCTCTTCATCTTGAAGTCTCCTTACTGACCTCCCTTCGTGGTTTTCTGACTGATCTGGGGCAGCGACCACGCTTCCTTTTGTGCAGGTAACGAAGGCACAGCTGGCTACAGGATTCGCCTTGGGGTTATAGAGGGCGACAAAGGAAACGGCTTTGTCGGTGTACACCGCAGGGTCATTCAACGCTTTGTACGTTGGGGGCAGCTGGTCATTGAATAGCGAAAGCCCGTCCTTCCAGTACTGCACTGCCGCTTTACAGTCGTTCTTGCCGGCGTAGTAGGCGAAGGTTCCCACCAAATCATCGGCTTGAGTGATGTCGACTTCTTGCTTCGCATGCAGGAATGAAAAACAAAACAGATGTAGCGCGTCTCGCTACATGCGCCACAGTCTGCAAAACACTGGCTAAGCGCTTCCAGAACGGCAACAGTAGTGCCTTTTCGGCACGGCTTACCACCATTATTTTTTTGCAGATTTCGTTCCACAATGTTTCAGCTGATATCTTCATAACAGTCCCAGAATGTTGCGGCAGCACTTGTGTTTCTTCAGATGCTGGCTTAAACTCAGCTAGTCCAGCAGCTGTCCTCGCCTCGTTCATCTCGGCTAGGCAGTTGATCGTTTCTGGGAAGAAACTCGAACACACACAGGGAAATTGTAAGTAAAAGTAAGTCCCAGTCTCAAGGTGAAAGAGTATTTTTTCGAAACGAAGAGATGCGAGAAAAAATATGATTACCTGCTTTTCCGGTCGTGCTAGCACTTTCCGTCTTGTGCCCACAAAGTGCACACACCGCAACGAGTGGAATAAGCACAAAACGAAGCATAGTTTTTAATTTAAAAAGCCACTGAATGAACAGAAGATCAACGAAATAAATAAAAAGGGTGGTGAAGATTGTTTCGACCCCGATTGACGGAAGGGCTGGGGACGTCCATGGGCCGCGTCGGCGCAGCTGCGGTTGCTGTTGGCATCCTTTTCTTCCCCGTTCGTCTCCTTTTTCACTATAACTCACGTTTTAAAAGCAAAAGTATCAGGCAGTACTGGTGACTGTGCACCACAGGGGTTTGTGCCTTCCGTATCACCACCACATGCCTTGCAGGTTCTCGTGTTCTGGATCACCTGAGTACCCGTAAAGATCCACATAGCCAAGTGTCTGTACAACGCTAAGAAATCTTTTCTATGAAAAGATTTTTTCTAGAGCGATCAGTTCGACTAAGTACTGACCAGTTCGACCAAGTACCGGAAGATGAAAGAGAATAATCTGTTGGATAATATGGCATTTCAACTCAGTCTAGAATTGACGCAGAAATATCAGAAGTGTACATACTCTCTTTTCCATAAAGCTGCAGAAAAGACCGATTTCATCAAAAATATAAATTCTGACCACAATCATAGTATGTCGCAGGCTTGGCAGATCGTCTTCACGTGGAGGAGGGCAGTTTATTTCTAGTTCGAAGCCGCACTCACTTGAAAACGAATATTAAGAACGCCTTTTCCGTTTTTCCTGAGCCAAGATCAAAGGGTTTGGAGGTGAGCAGAATCGAATCGCTAATTGCTCTTTGAGAATATCGAAAATTGCACCTGATAGCACACGGTGTGCATCTCCAGTACCTACTCGTCGGGGCCCTGCAATTTTATAAAACAATCCATTCTCTCTTCTTCGCTCTCCAATGCATATGAAAAATCACCAAAAGAAGCCTCTTGTTCTCCCATGTTCGATTCCCTATTCAGTGGAACGAGCAGTGGGACATCTGCCCAGTGCCCACAGCCTATGCAGCAACTGACAGGTTAAAGATGACTGTAAGCGAAAATCATCATTATGGAACCATGCCACTGAAGAATTGCTCAATGAAGTCCCATTGCCTCTTTGAGTATCACTTACAGCTTGAACAATCTTCTCTCATTCCACCTCTCTGCGAGTTCAGCCGCAAAAGAAGATATTAATCACTTAGTTCCACCAGAGCAAGCGCCACATATGATTGCCGCACTTACATACTTTAGGTCGTATGCAGCAAATATGCACCCAAGACCGTGGCCCTGGGGTGTGCTCCCACTTGAAAGGCGCTTCCTGAGCGACCAGTGCGGCTGCAGTGGGCTCCTTTTCATCGTGAAGTCTCCTTAATGTCCGAAGGGCGTGGAGTTTCGATAAGTCTGGGCTAGTAAACTCGCATCCTTTCGTGAGGGTGACACGGGGGCAGCTTGACACGGAGGAAATGAAGCAGAAAATAATGGAATCCGGCCGCTCGAACACATAGATGCCCCCATGTCACCAACCCCCTTCACCTATGCTTTCTTGATCTGTGTTGTTTTTAATGCTTCGCCTTCAAAGACCGGGGGTGCTGGCACGACGGGAACAGCCAGCTGCGACTTTGTTACCTGCACAAAAGGAGCCAGGTTTGCTCCTTCAGCCCTCCCAAAAGGCTGCGAAGGGCGGAAATTAAGGGTACCTCACGCTGGGGAGGAATCTGTTACTGCTGTTATCTCTTTGAAGAGCCAAGAGGCGCTGAATACTGATGCGGCGCAATTCAAGTGGGAACACACCGCATGGACACAGACTTTGCTGCACAGGGCCCAAAATGCTCGGCAGCTTTGCATGACTCTGTCTCTTGTATGTAAAACTTTCCCGTAAGGACTCAAGTTGTCAATGCATTGTGCTGCGTGTGGATTTTCATGGAAGAGGATTGGCAGAAGATAGTCCATGTTCTGAAGAGGGCTACGCGGTTTCGCCGGTCAGACCGTCATTGGCAGTTCGATTCATAGTGATGCTTTTCCCGTACGTTCTTTTCTAGCTTCTCAGCCTCTGTGCAGGGTTCTGGCACTGGTCAGACTTGCTCGAGTTTTTCCTTGGTGTTGTATTGCTTGTATTTAGGAGTGAAGAAGATGGACTTTTTTTAGCCCCTGTAGTGGGGTGCCACGAGGAAATCCTGGCGATGCAGATCATGTGCTCTCAGTCGCCACTTTCGATACTCTCAAGACGCACTCATGCGTACTAGTCCTAGGTACCTTCAGGATCACTACCGGCTCTGTGGCTAACTCAAGGTGTGTTAGTAATGTCGGTGATATGCTGGTGGTGCCTCGCCATGGCTGCTTGTTTTACCAGGTTGAGTCTTCTCATTGCAGGTCACTTCACGAGGTCACTTTAAATGCGCAGGCTTGCCATGGGACGCTTTCGTATCCTTACTGTCAAGTGCGAATTTAATTGAAACGCACTGAAGACATTTTGAATGTTATCGTGGGGGAAAGTATCCTGTCTTGGTTTCCTCACGCTCTGAGCGTCCATGCGTTGCCGATGCCGTCATTTAGCGAGAAACAATCAGAATGCGGGCTTGATTTTCCGCAACATTATTCCTATTCTTTAGAGTTCCTTTAGGGGAAGGGGAGCGTAAAATAAAAGCATTGGTGAACGTCTGCACATGCATCAATTTAACCCGCTGAAGCGTAACCAACTGTTGGTAATCACTCATGTTGTATGGCATTTCTTGCTGTCTGGGACGCTAATACAAACAAGCACATAATTTAGGGCAGACCAGTATGCTTACGGTTTTTAAGATAATTTTCTCTGCGCCGGACGCTTTCTGGGTGTTGTAGACGTTCAAGGGTGATGCAGTGACCCAGATCCACAGAACCTTTACACGCAGTGAAGATCACGAAAGGTAAAGCCTTATGGGGCACAGTAACCGACAAAACAAGGTATTTTTCTGCTTAAATTGAGTTAGTCTGAAAAAGGAGATGAAGAGAAAAAAGACGAGTTGTCAACAAGCGCAGCCGCGCCGACACCGCCCATATATGTCTCCTACAGGCCCATCCGCCAGGAAGGAGACAACGTTCACAAATTTCATTCCATAATTTATTTCGTTGACCCTTTTCTGACTATCGTTTTCTTGAACATGATGAGTCTCGCTTTTATTGCCCTTGCCGCTGTGCCTGTGTTCTGTGGACAGCAGGCAGAAAGTGCTTCCATAACTGGAACAGCAAGTAAGCGAACTACTGGTGCCTTGTCCCCAACTCGACCCCGCACTTCGGATATCTCAAGTTGAAATTTGTTTTCCTTTGTAGCCGTTTTGTTTGGGTCTGATTTTCCCCTCAGAAACGCTCAATTGCTTGGCCGCGATGAACGAGGCGAGGACCGCCGCAGGACTCGCAGAGTTTAAGCCGGCAGCTGAACAAGGGCAAATGCTGCCCGAAAACCCGGCTGCTAAAAGCGACATACAAGCTGCTGAATTATGGGAGGAAATCTGCCAAGAAATAGCAGGGGTAAGCCGTGTCATGAGCGCACTGCTGTCGCGAGTTCTGGTACACTCAGCCAAACAAAGCCATGCAGACTACGGCGCATGTAGGAAGAGATGACACGTCTGCTTTGATTTTCATGCATTTTTGTGAAGACTGACAGCGCAAGGACTGAAGCCCAAAAGTTGAAGGGAACCTTCATGTACTACCGCGGCGAGGATGACTGCACAGCGGCAGTGCAGCACTGGAAGGACGGGTTTTCGCTCTTCAATAACGAGCTGCCTCCAGTGTACAAAGCGTTGGGCAGCCCTGAAGTGTATACCGACAAAGCCGTTTCCTTTGTTGCCCTCTATAACCCTAAGGCAGACCCTGTAGCCAGCTGCGCTTTTGCCACCTGCACAAAGGGAGACGCTGCAGCCCTATCAAAAAGCCACGGCGGGCCAGCATTAAGGAGACTTTCAGGGGAGAAGCCCACTACAGCCGTTATATGCTTGACGAATCCGGCGGCGCTGACTGCCGATGCGGCACCATTCAAGTGGGACTTCACCACAGGGCTAAGGACTTTGCTGCATAGATCCCAGAGTGCACCGACAGCTTTGCATGACTGTATCTTTCATATGTTACAGATTTTCTTACGGAGCTAAGTGGTCGTATGTATTATGCTGTGACTGGATTTGCAGGGAGGAGGAGTGGCAGAAGATTGTTCATGCTATAGCTGGCCCTGAGGCGGGCAACGGGGCTGGGCGGGTCAGGCCTTCATTCGCCGCGCATGCCTTGATAATGCTGCTTCTCGGTTACCGTCTTTTTTAAGCTCTCAGCCTCTGTGCAGGTTGCAGATACTGAACGGACTTGCTGTCGGCTTCCTCCCCGAATAAATAGCCCAGCACTGAAGTTCAAGGGGTTTCTATTGATATTTTATCATATGAATCGGATAACCCAGAAGATGGACCCGTTTGTATTCGTACCAGAGGGGTGCCATGACCAGGTGCTATCGATGCACGCCATGCGCTCTCAGGTTCGAGCGGCAAAAGTGTTCTCTGGACGTACGCATGCCCACTACGGGCTAACTACTTTCCTTGAAATTCCAAAGCTCCTCCTATAGCCTATAGTGTGTAACTGTATCACCGATCTAGACGTGGTCAATATCACGGTTGGGCAGGGTGAACATCCTTATGCAGGGCATGCTTGTTTCGTGGCACATTTTTGCGTGCTTATTGGTTAGGCAAGTACACAAATTGAGTGTTTTACAAACATTTTGAATGCAAAGCTGTAGAAAAATATCCTGTCTCGGCAGTCCTATGCAGCGAGGTGCCACGCCGTTAGAGCCACCAGATCAGCAGTTTCCCTTGCACTTTCATTATCCCTTCTCGTCTTTTATCACAAATAAACGTGCTTCTAGATGGCTTTCGGCAGACATTTGTTGAAGTACGTTTAGTGAGTTTCATTTCGAGAGAAAAACTTTTTGTGTCCGGGTACTATGTGTCGTAGATCACCAGTGCCCAGGAACAGCTGGACATCCAACACGCGCAGTGGAAACCATGAAAAACAGAGATGCACTTCTAGAACTCTTTTTAGTATTCCTCCACATTTTCAATGTGAATCCTCTAGAAAATGCAGATGAAGGAGGAAATAATGGCTTCAACTCAAACCCAGTCGCTCGAGCCCGGCCACTTCCCCATGTCCCCATGCCGCTCATTTAAACTCTAGGAAATAACGCTCACCAACCCCCTCCAGATGTCCTTACCTGACTCGGTTTTTGTCCAATATTTTTTTAAAAATTGCTCATCTTTGTTTTTATTTCTTTCGTCCTCGTGCCTGTGTTTACTGGACACGCGATCGCAAGTGCAGGCACGACGGGAACGGCAGGTAAGCATCCTGTGCATTATTCAGCCAACAATGCTTTTGATATTTCGTACTTCATGTACGTTTTGTGCATGTTGGAGCTTTTCCTATGAAATTATCAACTAATCGGACGTTGCGAATAAGGCGAGCACAGCTGTAACAGTCGCTGAGTTCACGCAGGCATCTGGAGAAACACAAGTACTGCGGGAATCCCCCCCCACTCGAAGAAGGATAACTGCAAATAATTTTTGGAAGAAAATCTGAAAAAAATGGGCAGGGGTGAGCGGTTTCATGGACACTGCTGCCGCGAGTTCTGGTACACTTCATCAACCAATATGTTGCAGGCTACGGCCCATGTAGAAAGAGACGCCACACGTTTCTCCTGTGTTTCTCCTACTTTCCATACTATTACGTAAAGACTAGTAGTGACAGCATTGATTCCAAAGAGCTGGAGGAGGCCTTCACACACTATCCCGGCAAAAAGAACTCGGGAGAACCCTGTAGCCAGCTGAGCCCTTGTCACTTGGAAGAAAGTAACTGAGCATTCTGCTCCAGCGCTGTTAAAAAGCCGCGAAGGTCGGACACTAAGGAGACTTCAAGATGAAGGGAAACCTGCGACTGCCGTTATACGCTTGGCGAGTCCGAAGGCACTGAGCGCTGATGAAGTGCCACTCAAGTGGGTACATGCCCCAAGACCATGGATTTGGCTGCATCGGAACCAACGTGCACCGGCAACTTTGCATGGCTGTCTTTCTTGTGCGATATTTCCCCCTTTGAAATTAACTGATCAGAGCATTGTGCTGTGGCTGAATTTACAGGATATTGTTCTTGCTGCATTTGTCTCTGAAGAAGGCAACGGGGTTTCAACCGTTAGGCTGTCACTGATACTTGGGTTTAAAATGACGCTTTTTGCATACGGTCTTTCTTAAGGTGTGAGGCGCTGTGCAGTGTGCAGGCACTGCACAGACTTGTCGTGGTTTGCCTTATCGTCTAAATAATTCAGTACGCAAGACCAAGAGTTTTCTTTTAGCTTTTATTTCTTGATAAAATGTGCAGGAGATGAATCTTTTTGAGCCCGTGAAGTGTGGTGTCACGGTCACGTGCGGGTGACGCACGCCATGTGCTATCAGGTGCCATTTTCGATATCCGGTCTTTTCCAGGCCTATTTGCGTCTACCAGGCGTGAATATTGTTGACATACAGGTTAATGCTGTGCGTATTTCCAAATGTTTGCTGCTCTATCAGTGATGCAAGTTCATATACACCATGGATGCGGATTTGGGCAGGTTGAGCCTCGCCAAACCAGGCAGCTTCAAATGATCATCCTTGTGTCGTCGCTCGTTTCTATGTACTTTTTGGCAAGGGAAGTGTTTAATTCGAACGCGTTGCAGACATTTCCAATAAACGCTTGAAGATATGTATACTACTTGGCTGTCTCACGAACTCAGCAAAAATGGAGTTGCCACGTATTAAGAAAAGAATTGACCCAACAGCAAGCGCAGGCTCGCCAAACCGGCCCGCAGATGTCCCGTTTGAACCCGTCCGCCACGAGGGAAATGCTGCCGCTGCTGCTGCTGCTGCTGCTGCTGTGCCGGCCAGACAAACACAGAAAAACATTGGGTATATAATTTTATCTCCTTCGGCTTATTCTTTGTTGTCGTTTCAAAACATGGAGCGTACTTGTGGACACGCTGTCGTGAGCACTTCTGTAGACATAAACTTGAACTGCTTGGAGTTTGGCGCATTGTTCAAAAGCATTCAGGATAAGTAATATTTCTTACTCTTCGATATAGCAACTCAAAGATTAACACAACTGGAGCAATCTGGCCTAAGGAGGGCTGTTTCAAGAGAAACATGTTCTTCGCGGTGTGGATCTAGCATCAGGTTACCCAGAACAAGTGATCCTGTAACGCACGCAGTGGAGATTACGGCCAGCACAAATCGATGCAGCACAACTTGGAACACTGCAGAATTTTACCTTTTCTAGTGCGAATGATTGTGAAAAATGAAAAGACGGAGAAAAGAATTGACCCAACAGCAAGCGCAGGCTCGCCAAACCGGCCCGCAGATGTCCCGTTTGAACCCGTCCGCCACGAGGGAAATGTTCACCAACCCCCTTCAGAAGTTAATTCCTTCTTACCTGCTTTTTGAGGAGTTTTCAATAACAAAAGATGCTTTGCCTCGCTTTTCTTTCACTCTTCGTTGTGTTAGGGTTCTGTGGAGACAGGACGGAAAGTGCCACCACAACGGGGAAAGCAGGTAGCCATTGCACTCCTGTCTTTCTGCTTTTTGAGACAAAATTCTTGCTATTTCAGAGTGAAAACTGGGTTTCTTCACAGTTTTCCTGTGCGTGTCGTATTTTTCCGCAGAGACACTTGATTGCTTGACTCAGATGAACGAGGCAAGGGCAGCCGCGGGACTCCCTGGATTTGGGGAAACAGCCGAAGAAGGAAAAACTCTACCAGAGTATGCTGATTCCGGAAGAGCGATAACACCTGAAACTTTGTGGAAACAAGTCTGCCAGAAAATAATGGGGGTAAGCTGTCACACAAAGACACTTCCTTTGCCATTCTTGGCACAACTATCCAAGCATCGTCCAGCACACTACAGCTCATATAACAACAGATTCCTCACTTGCTTTGTTGTTCACTTTTGCATGCGAAGGACGAAGGCGCAGTAACTGAAATTGAGAAATTGTCAGGAACGCCCGCATACTACCCCGGCAGCAAGGACTGCGCAGCGGCAGTGCAGTACTGGAAGGAAGGCTTTTCGCTCTTCAATAACAAGCTGCCCCCCACGTACCAAGAGATAGATGATCCTGATGTTTATACGGACAGGGCTGTCTCCTTTGTCGCCCTATATAACCCCCAGGTGAACCCTGTGGCCAGCTGCGCCTTTGTCACCTGCACAAAAGCAGCCGCGTCTGCTGACCAGGATTTGTCTAGAAGCCCGGATGGCCACTCATTGAGAAGACTTCAAGCTGCGCCCCAAATAACTACTGCTGTCATTTGCTTGACAAATCCGGTAGCACTGAAAGCTGGAGTAGCGCCGTTCAAGTAAGAAAACACCCCAGGATCACGAACGTGATTGCATTCGACCCCAAACCCACCCGAAACTTAGCATAAGCGTCACCTCCGTAAGCAGCGCTTGATTTTATTAGGGTGGGGAATCAATATATCAATAGATCATACTGCGTCTGGATTTTCAGGGAGGAGGAATGGCAGAAGATTGTTCGCGCTATAGTTGGCACTGAAGAGGTCAACAGGGTTTCAGCCGTCACGCCGTCACTGACACTTGGTTTCATAATGCTTTTCGCCTACAGTCTTTTTTAAACTATTGGCTCCTGCGCAGTATGCGGGCAATGGATGGGCATTTCGTTGCCACCTTGAAAAAACCCAGTGGGCGAGACGAGGTTTCTTTCGACGTTTTATCGATCATATTGAGGAGTGCTGAAAATTAATTTTTTTTATAACACTCTCAGGGCTGCCGCGAGCAGATGCTGGCGATGCAGGCCATGTGCTATCGGCTGCCATTTTCGATATTCTTCAAAAATATTAATGCCTACTACTCCTAAGTATCTTCAGGATTGCTGCTGATGCCTAGCACCCACTGTCTGTTGCTGTAGCTGTGGTGTGCTGCTGGTGTAAACCGTAGCTACTTGTTTGGTCTGGTTGAAAACCCTCATGCCAGGTCACTCCACAGGGTCACTTCATAGCGGAGGGCTTGTTTCATTGCATGCCTGCGCATCAAGAAGATACTTGAACGGAATGCATTGCAGACAGTTTGAATGAAGGCTTGTGTGGACATATCCTACCTCGGTTGTCTCACCTACTCAGGCGTCATGGCGTTGCCACGCTCATTTTAGGGGAAAAAACTCGACCGATAATTTATTCTCCCCTCTTTTCATTCCTTTGCGTCTTGCTAAGCCAGGGCGTGTTTAAGCGAAGAAATCGTGGGGAGCATCGGTATATGTATCAATTTGAACCAATGGCGTGTTGTGCAATTGTAGTGCACTGCGCCCGCAGCTGCGACTACGTGCTCTCAGTCCCTTGGGCAGGGTCTATAAACTGCTCCCTACGCTAGTCCATTTCCTAGAAACACCAGCTATAGCGATTAAGAATACAAAATCACGAGTTTCTCAAAATCTGTCTGTCTGTTTCGCACCCTCCTGGGAGCTCGCCTCCTAGTCCCTAAGGGAGGGAGGCTGACTCTGGTGCCGGCGCTGTCTCCAGCCCCAGTCTCCACGCAATTCCACGAATTCACGTGTGCATATAAAATAATAATCACTTTCTCTTACTTTTTGTCTGGTAAGAGGGCCCTGTGTCCCTCCAGTCTTGCGACCCCTCGTAGGTCGCTGGCTAGCTATCCTCTCTAGAGCACTAACCAGCCCCATTGTAGTGTCTGTGCACTACAGCAATGGTCAGGAGCATCCTCACCATGCGATGTTTCTTCTTCCCACGAAGCAATTTGTTGAAGCACACAACCATAGTGGGCTAATCTAGGGAGGGATTTTTTAAGAGAAAAGTTTCGCATGCTTGTTGCTCCAGATCCTCATTGTTAATGCAGTGACCCGGAACAAAAGAACCTTTGAGCCACCTGGTGGAGATCACGAAAGGCACGAATTTACGAGTAACAGAGTTACTAACAAACTGTGTTATTTTTGTTTAATTTGAGTTATCGTAGAAAAACAGACGAATGAGAAATAAAAGGATGTCAAGAACAAACGCCCCCACTCCTACCTGGCCCGGACTGTCCCCTCCCCGCCCCTGTGCCAGAAAGGACCAACGTCCATTGCTTCGCTTCACAACTTATTTTCTTAGCCTTTTTAGTACTGCTTTTGTTAAACTACAGAAGATGCTTCTCCTCGTTTTTTTTGGTCTCGTTGTTGTGTCTGTGTTCTGTGGACACAGAACAGCAGGCGCCACCATTACGGGAAAAGCCGGTGAGCATTTTGCTCCTGTCTTTTCTTTCCTTCGAGGCTAAACTCCTATTTTTTCCAGAGTGGAGCTCTTTTTAAGTTGTGCTTGTGTGTGCTGGAGTTTCCGCTCAGAAACGCTTAATTGCTTGACCGAGATGAACGAGGCAAGGGTAGCCGCGGGACTCCCCGAGTTTGGCAATGCAACGCAAACAGGACAAATGCTGCCGGAACACTCTCCGTCGGAGCTAGACATAACACCTGAAACTTTATGGGAGCAAATATGCAAGAAAATATTCAGGGTGAGCCGTGTCAGAAGCGCGCTGCTATCGGCAGTTCTTCAACTCCTAGCCAATCAACGACGTGCACAATGCGGCACATACGGCAGGAGCTCTCGGTTTCATCATGCTTTTGGTTTTATTATGATAAGGAAGCCGGCGAGAGTAGTGAAATCGATCAATTGGCGGGAACTCCTGCATACTACGCCGGCGACAAAGACTGCAAAGCGGCAGTGCAATACTGGAAAGACGGTTTTTCTCTCTTCAATAATGAGCTGCCTCCAACGTACCAAGCGCTGAACGACCCTGATGTTTATACCGACAAGGCCGTCTCTTTTGTCGCCCTCTACAACCCCCAGGCAAACCCTGTGGCCAGCTGCGCCTTTGTCACCTGCACAAAAGCAACCGCCTTTGCTGTTCAAGATATATCTAAAAGCCCGAACGGCCAGTCACCTAGGAGACTTCAAGAAGAAAATCAAACGGCGAAAGCCGTTATCTGCTTGACGAATCCCAAAGCACTGACCGCGGGACAATCGCCATTCAAGTGGGAACAAACGCTCAAGGCCACAGACTTCGCTGCATAGGACCAAAGTGCATCGGCAACTTAGCATAAGTGTGACCTTTATATGTAGCGCGTGCTTCCGTGGATCTAAATGATAAGTGTATTGTGCTGTGGCTGGGTTTGCAGGGAAGAGGAATGGAAGAAGATTGTTCACGCCATTGTTGGTACTGAAGAGGTCAATAGGGTCCCTTCTGTTAGGCCGTCAATAACACTGGGGTTCATAATGATGCTTTTCGCTTGCGGACTTTTTTAAGCTGTCAGCCTGTGTGCAGGATGCGGGCAATTGATAAGCTTGCCATCGGCCATCTCACGGAGCGAAAAATTCCAGCATGCGAGACTAAAGTGTTTCTCGTGGTGTTTTATCGTTTGCGTTGAAGAGTGCAGAGGACGAACCTTTTTATGAGCCTTGCAGGGTTGCCACGAGCAGATGCTGGCGATGCACGCCATGTGCAGTCATGTGCTCCAAACGTATTGAAGCCTACTAGACCCGAGCAGTTTCCGTCCAACTGTCAGTGCTGTGCCTAAATGTGGGTGTAGGCTTGTCGGTGGGGTACTGTTGGCTTGCACCGTGGCTGCTCGTTTGGGCAGGGTCAATATCCACACTCCTAGCCAGCCCAAATGCGCGGCCGTATTGGCCAAAAAAGTGCTTGAATGGGAAGCTTTGTATTTATTTTGAACACAGCGACTTGGAGGAAAATCTTTGTTTTGCCGTCTCACGCGCCGATAGTACCGCTGGTCTCATTTAAGTGGAAGTGGGAAGGGCTTGTCCGACAATATCTTCATCCTGTATCCTATTCTTTCCGTTTTGTTATGCCAGTGGATGCGTTTTTAGATATACTCTGGTGATCATTTGCTCAAGCATGAATATCGAGGGGCTGGCGGATTATTGGCAAGCGCCCATGAATTGTGATATTCTTCGCTCTCCGGCGCATCACCAGAAAGAAGCACACAATTTAGAGCAGGCCTGTGTAGTCAACTTTCTTAGGGAAATTTTCCGTGTTCGTCGCGTTCTTGGCACTGTAGATCTCCAGGGGTAGTGCGGTGACCCAGATTAACAGAACCTCTCCGGCAAGTGGTGTAAATCACGAAAGGTAGGGCCATACAGTGCACAGTTACCCACAAAACAAGATATTGTTTTGCTTAACTTGAATAACTCTGGGAAGGTGATGAAGGAGCAAAAGGGGAGCTATCAACGTGCGCAACGGTGCCGGCACAGCCCATGATTGTCTCCCACACGCCCATCCATTAAGAAGGAAGCAACGTTCACCCAGTACTTCCATAATTTATTGCCTTGACAGCTTTTGGACTGTCAGCATTTTTGTGATCGAGCGTGGGTTGTCTCGTTTCTACTGTGCTCGCTGCTATGTCTTTGTTCTGGACGAAAGCCGGGGAGTGAGGTAACAGCTGGAAAAGCACGTAGGCGCATTACTCCTGTCTTCTCTTCGACTAGACCTAACACTTCCATGCTCATACTACCTTTGGTCTTGAAGAGGGCAATAGGGATTCGCTGGTCAGGCCGTCAATGGCACTTGGGTTCATAATTTATGCTTTTTGCGTGCGGTCTTGTTTAAGCTGAGTTTCTGTGCGGTATGCGGGCGCTAGACAGACTTCCAATCGGCTCCCTCACTGAACAAATAATCCAGTACGCGAGACCAAGAGGATTCCCCTCTTCCTTGATCCCATGCGTTACATGAATCTTTTTGCAACTTAGAGGATTGCACGTCTTGTGCTGTCAGTCACGACTTTCGACATTATCGACATTATCGAAACGTATTCATGCTCACTAAGCCTATTCAGTGCAACTGTCAATGCTGTGCCTATATCTAAATGCGTATAGACACATCGGCGATGCACTGGTGATGCATACTATGGCCGTTTTCTTGAACAGGCTGAATCTCTTCACGCCATGTCACAACAAATGGGCAGGCTTGTGTCATGGCACTTTCTTGCGTCCTTGCTGGTCAACAAAGTGCTTAAATCGAAGGCATTGCAGACACTTCGAACGCAGTCCAGAAGAATTACCATTGGCAACAATGCAACAGCACTACGCACTGTGGTGTGTAATACTGTTGCAGGTTTTGTCGGTTGCCTTTTGTTCCTCTGTCGGTAATTGAGGAATCCCACTGCGCCGCAGCATACACAAGTCTCGTAGGTGTGTGCTGGAGCTACTCTACATTCTTGCAATTGTGCTGCTGGAACATGTGGGGCTGAAAGTGTCACAGTAAAGGATACTTACCATAGTAGTAGATCACTGCTAGAGAAGGAAGTCGTGTTGCAGCAGGTTATTGGAGGAGTGGGTCTCCGTTCCTCCCAGTGAAACAGCTGTCTGCTCTCAGCATGTGTGAAGCTAACAGCTATTGATGCAATGGAGAAACTAACCTCGTCGTGGTCTCAGCACTCAACCTGCCCCAGCTGTCCTCCGGATGCATCTCCTTGCGGATACAGTAACCTCGCTATAGACATCTTCCTTCCGTGCCACAGCAATTGAAAGCGTCGCTATTTGCCTCATTAACATCTCACACCGACCAGCCCTACATGGACCAACCTGGCTCACCTTCATTTGTCGAAAACAAAACT